CCAACTTTTGTTACTCTTCAGCCGAAGTAAGGGTATGGCTGAAGAGTGGTTGGCTGGAATAAACCAACTCTTGTTACTCTTCAGCCGAAGTAAGGGTATGGCTGAACAGTGGTTGGCTGGAATAAACCAACTTTTGTTACTCTTCAGCCGAAGTAAGGGTATGGCTGAAGAAGTGGTTGGCTAGATTAACCAAACTCTGGGTACTCCTCAGCCGCAGTAATTATGTCGGCTAAGGAGTGGTTGGCTGGTAAGCATAGTTTAACAAGTAAAAACCGAAATAGAAGTTCGAGTATTAGAAGGCATTACGAAGTACAGGCATACATATCAGAACCGGAATAAGAGTCTAACAAAATTCTCATTCATTGAAAAGCAAGTACAAGAGGGACATAGCCCGATTACAAAGAAAAGGTAACAAAAAAGAAGAAAAAATCAGGAAAAAAGATCTTCAATTTCGGCGTCAAAGGCAGCATCTGCGTCAACAGGAAGACCGGTTTCAGGCGGAAAGACGTTTTCGGTCGCAAGAATGGTTTCGGCCGGAACCACAGTTTCACTCGGTTGTTCAATAGTTAGATCTTCCACTATCGGCTCTGGCCGAACCGCCTGATCCACGCTGACAACCGGAGTATCCTCGGAGGCAGAATCTTCATCAGAATCTGAGCCTTCAAGAAACTCCTGTTGCATAGCATTTGCATAATCCAGGAGGGAGTTCGGTATGAAGTAGGCTGGAGGGTTGAAAACCTCGGTCTGTGGATCATGACCGAGCTTCTCAACGGCTCCCCTCCAGCCGCACTTAAAAAACAGCTCCTTGGCAGCCTCACATTGCTTGACGTATACATCCTCTGCCTTCTTGAAACCCTTCTTCTGGGCCTCCTTGGCGTCCTCCTTCGCCTGGGTTATTTCGGCGTCTTTCTTCTTTTCAAGTTTTACCAGCTCACGCAGGTACTTGTCCTTCAGAGCAATGGCAGTCTTTTGCTTTTCGGCTTTGGCCGAACTAACTAGTCCGGTCAGTCTGCCGACCGCCCCGCGTAGCTCGGCCATTTCCTTTCTGGCATCCTCCAGCTCGGCCGTTTTTGCCTCAGCTTCCGCCATTGCTTGCCTTGTGGTTTTTCTAAGCTCTTGGACTTTCTTGTAAGTTATGTTGTTTTTCTGTAAGGCCTGGCAACACGAAGATTTCCCTTAAGCTGAAGTAAATGTTGCAAAAATTAGCCAGAAAAAACGGACAGAACTACTTACCAAAATCATGGACTTTGATGAAGACCGGATGGACTTCAATTCAGTGTTTAGTTGCTTTAGGTGGTGCTCCATGTCTTTGGGGAGGCACACACTCTTGGCCAGGTTGAAGGCCAATTGATGATCTTTTTCAGCAACAACCGAATCAGAGTCTTTGATATCTCGGTCGTTGAAGGTTAGTTGCGGAGCCCATTTGGAAGATTCCGCTCGGTCAGTTTGCTCCGGTTGAAGGGTAGGTTGAGGACTTTGGGGGATGGATTCAACCTCATCGACAAGTTGCTGTTCGGTCGATGTAGATCGGGCGCGTTTAGAGGGGCGAGATGAAGAAGGCTGTTGAGAGGGGAGGGCTACAACGGCAGGCTGCGTTTGGATTGATGGTGGTACTTCGGCCCTGGTAGTTGCGGTCAGAAGGGCCCTGACTCTGCTTTTCTTGGCCATCTCTTCTTCAGCGGTTAGTGGGACAAGTCGTATTTCGGGCAAGGTAGGGTCCGGTTCAGGTGCGTGCAGTTAATGGAACAAGTCGTATTTCGGGCAGGGTTGGGTCCGGTTCAGGTGCGTCTTCAAGAAGGAAATCGGTCACTCGGGCTTTTCGGCGACCGCTATATCGGTAGGTCGGCTCGAACTGCAGCAACTTGGCCCAACTACGTTCAGGATACCGTAGTGCGGCTCGCAACACTGCAAGATTTGGATAACTGTAATGGGAAGCAAGATGAGCTGAGTCTGCAAAAAGGATACAACTGTTAGATCGGTTACGACATCCGAAACTAAAGTACAAGAAAAAAATACATAAAACTGAAGTAAAGTCTACCAGGTTTTCCTTTCTTCCAGTTTATACTTCGGCCTGGGATTTGGGCTTGCTGATCTTCAAAATTGCCCGATACCAGAAAAAGTCATCATCATTGACGTCCTTATCCAGCGTATCTTGTATTATCTTTTCTCTACGGCGGCGTATCCTAAGGTAATAAACCCAGCCATCTTCTTTGGAACCTATGGAGTACTGGTGGAAGATTTCGCCTAAACCGAGGTTCAGGCCTGCTTGGCGGTTAAGCTCGGCTATACCCATTATTATTCGGTATGTATTGGTGGATAGCTGGGTTGGGCATAGTCTGGTTTGCCTAAGAAATTCACAAATTAAAGGCTGGACAGGGAACCTTAGTCCGGTCTCTATTATTGAAAGCAGGGTAAAGGGTACAAAGCCTGCCTCACCCCAGGGTATGATATCCTTCTTGGCTAGGGTAAGGTGTACATCGTCTGGAATGCCATAATCCCTTCGGAATTCGGCCATGCCACCAGGGGTCTCTACCAAATACCTATACTTACCCATCTGATGTATAATCTACGAATAAATTATATCGGTGCAAAAATCGTGCTCAGTAGCTCGGTTGAGCGCACGCAGGAGTGCCTGGATAACCTAAGTCTACAAAGTAAAAAATAAAGGGGTTAAGCACATATCATTGGACCGTGCTACAATTTAAAAGCAAGGTATAAGAGCCCTACTTCGGCCTCCTGAACTGGTTCTACCTCGGTTCGTCAAAAGGTTTGGTAGCTCGGTTTGAGCAGGTCGCTCGTTAGACCGGTTGATCGTCTAGGGGCAGCTTTCTGAGTTCGGTCTAAAAAACTAAGAAAGCTGGTTTGGCCCCAAAGGCCTAAATCGGTTGAAGCATGAATAAAGTTGCTTCGGTTAAGCCATTAGGGGCAGCCTTCTGAATTTGGTTTAGAAACTCAGAAAGCTGGCTTAGCCCCAAGGCTTAACTCGGTTGAAGATCATGGTTCCCTAGTTTAGTGTATTCAAACTTCGTTCGGTGATTTTATTTCGGCTACAGTGAATCAGGAGTTGGTAATTTGTTAAAACCTGGTCGATCCTAGTTCGGTTATTGGCTAAAGTGATCTACCTATATAGGACAAACAGTACATAAGTTCGGTCGCTACATATTTTGGATCCAAGACTAGTTATCTACAGGATAATTCATACACACATAAGTTCTACTGAAAGTACAGAGGCATAGCAAAAATGGAAGAAATGTTTTGCAAAAACACACTAAACATAATGCATTGAACAGATACGAAGGTAAAACATGGAAGGGAGATGGATTTGCTTACCAGATGGAATAAGAGAGGACTGGAGTCGGCAACAGTATCAGCAAATGAAGAACACGAGCTTGATAATGGAAGAAACAAAGGCATAGAGAGAGAAGACGAAAGAATAGTGGACAACGTGATTCAAAAAAAAATAAAAGGGTTTTTTTGGTTAATGGACGAAAGGGCGGGACTGTTCAAATTTTTCGTACTACGAGGGCGGCGTGACAGCTGCTCCCAGCCTATCAGAACCTGCCACGTGTCATTGGAAAGGGAAGCGTTACAGTCGTGATTGAAGAGACGTTTTGACCGGACAAAATGGAGCCCGGAGTAAAAATTAGCTCGGTTTAAAAGTCTTAAGGGTTTTTAGCTCGACTGGAAAAGCTTAAAAACTCCTGCTCGGCTGGTATACTGGTAATCCCAATCATGATCTGCAGATGGAATTAAGGGGCAATTAACAGGGTAATTTTTGGGAAAAATTGGGCCGAGCTGTGAGACGGACTTTATGGCCCAAAGTACGAAGGACAGGGTAGAAAGGCCCAATAGAAATGTAAAAGATACTCCGGCCCAGGAGAGGCAAGGTTACTCTGGCCTAGGAAAGACAAAGCTACTCCGGTCCGGGGCAACTTGGAGTCAGGTCGGTCCCAGTAATAGTCCGGTTGAGACGTATTGAATTTAGAACGGCCAAAACACTGCTACTCGGTAGCCCGGTCTTGGAGTTGTGCCGATCGCAATTTGGTAGTTCGGTTCAGTCGTGTTATGGGTTGAGCAGAGGAGAACCGAGATGAGGAGTAAAAGCAGAACCGAATTAAGAATAGTTCGGCCTAATTAGTGGCTCTGCATAGCCAAGCTTATTTCGGACATATCGTAGTTCGGCCAAAGGAAAAACCATCCCACTTGGTTTAAGCAGTGGGGGGTGTAAAAGGATAAGCATTATCCTTAGGAGTGTGAATCCTAGGAGGACTCTGCATGGAGGAATAAGAGTCCTACTAGGATTATGCCACACGAAACTTATAAAAAGCTCACAAACATCACCTTGGAGGAGGTAACAGAACACAACACAATTTAGCTTTCTGAAAATATAGAGCTTTGTCTATTTGTCAAGTTTACTGACTTAGGCATCGGAGAGGTTTCCGGCACACACCCGCCGGCTAGCTCACGTTTGCATTTTCAGGTGACAAAGCGACGTTGTACGGAGGAGCGTGGACTTGGTCAACAAGATTATACGAGGAGAATTATTTCTTCCCCGTACAATAATGAACAGTGTTAGAAACTCATAAATTAAACTTCTAAATTTATTCAAAATGATGTGGCGAGATAAGCTCCACAATTGATTATATGATAAATCAAAAATTGACATATATTATATCACATCATTACAGGTTAAATTATAAAAAAAAAAAATTGTGAGTCTTAAATATTTTTTTAAAATAATGGTGTACACTAATACAATCACAGAAAATGAGTAAGTACCTTATGTACGATCCTCACTCGATGAAGGTCTGATGGAAGTAAATTAGGAACAAGAAATAATATTATATTATGGTCTATTTGGAAAAGATGGTAAAAATTAATTTTTTTGACTTTTAATCAAGTTTTTGACTTTTTTTAAACAAATGATTTGGAAAGTTAGTAAAAAGTTACATTTGACTTTTTTTATTAATATTTGTTTATGATGTCAAATCACAATAAAATGACCAAACTATCCCCATTCAATTTAAAATATTTACAACTTCAGTCATTTAGTACATTTTAACCCATGAGGAGTAGAATTGTAATTTCACTAGTGGCTGAAAACCAACTTTCCAAATGAAAAAAAAATACAAAAAAGTCAACTTTTAATTTTTATTACAAACTTAAAAAAGTGACTAAAAGCTAAGTTCCCAAAACAACCGTATGTACAATTATTTTAAACCTCCATGCTTTTGTTTTGCAAGAGGGGGACTTTATCCGACGATGAATCAACCCTAGAGATGACATTTTCTTCAATGATCTGGACTTCATTGGCTTTTCCCCACATCACAGCATAGAGGCCAAGAGCTATTATCACTGCTCCAATTACACTACACATAGCATAAAAAATAAACCATGTTTTTCATTTTTTCCCAAACTTATCTAATTTTCTCTTCTTCTTTTGTCATTTTTATTTATTTAAAAAAAAAAAAACTGACCTTCCAATATGGAGAGTATCTTTCAGAAAAGTAACCCCCATGAAAACTGCAAAGGCCATCCCCAGTGGTCTAAACGTCGAAACAAAGACAGGGCCCTTTATGCGACAAACCCATGCATAAATCACACTCCGAATTGAAACCATAAAAACTGCCTAGATTTTAATTCACAATTATAGCAAATTGTTAGTTTTTACCCCCCCCCCCCCCCCCACATTATTCTTACCGAGTAGACAATAGTTATCAACTCCACATCGGGTTTTAGTGTCCAAGCATTTGGATCCCTTTCTACAATCAAAGCAACTATGGCTGATAGGATTGTCACAAAGATACATCCAAAAAGCGTTACGACCATCTCTGCAGGGTAGTCTTTGATGATCCACGTCTGATACACCAAAAATTATTAAAATTTTTTTTTTTTTTTTAACATTGTAAAAAGAGTTATAAAGACTTTTGACAAGCCCTACCTGCACAATATATAGTAATGAAATCAAGAAGCTGGATGTTGCAAGGAGAAAGCCTCCAACGATCCAATTAGATTGCAGTGACACAGAGAACGAATGAAGGTTAGGTAGAGGTCGAGAGAACAAGATTGGTGGCCCTTGGTAAAAAACTACAATGTATGCTCCTGTGATTGACAAAATGGTGCCAATGGACTTGGCCTGACTGCTCTGAACTTTTAAGTCCAGCTTTTCCATCCTGAAAAAATACCCATTTGATTCAACGTGAATTAGATGAACATTTAAATTCTTTCTAGTTGAAGTTCACAAAGCTAGATTCTATGTTGTTGGGGTTAATCACAATGTGGAGGCAAGGAAAACTAGGTAGCTATGTATCTTAATTAATAATTTTATTAATTGATAGGTTTTAACTAGTACTAATTCCATCAAGCATCCAATTGCACCAAGTCGGGTCCTCTACCAGTGGCAAACACAAGATTTATTCAGAGAGCTAAACTATATGCGTTCAATATTGACAATAAAGTTCTATCAAACGAGAATTATGTGCATTTTTCTTTTTTCTTCACATTAAATAAATAAATAAAAAAAGAGAGACAAAAGAAGATTACGTACTTTTTTTACATTGACAAAAAACAAAAGGGAAATTCTTCCTAAAGATTGTCATTAAACACAAAACTAACTACATTAATCTCATGCATCCACTAAAGAGATTACCATGATACATGAATGCATAATAATTCATGTGTGATTCCTAACTGAATAATAGACCAATATAATGAAGTCCTAACTCATAAGCAATGCTTAAGAGAACAAAAAAAAGGTATGTGTACAGAATTTGTGTGGTTCAGATTTAACTCAAGTGTTGTAGGGTTTACATGTAAAATGAATTTATGACACTCAATGATTTATGTGGACCTAACATTGTTGCCAAGAGAATCTCGATGTTGAAATTGCCCAAATGTCACCCTAAAGTCAAATTTTAAGCCAACTTTTGGGAACATCAATAAAAAGTGAATTTTTTGGCTTTTTAACTTTTTTAGACAAAAAAGTCAATTTTTTTAGCCAGTTTTTTTCGCCAAAAAAGCCACTAAAAAAGTCAAAAAACTAAAAAGTCAATTTTTTACCAACTTCTCAAAACACCATCCAATATGCCAAAATATGACAATCACACTTCAAAGTTTGGGAAGAAAAAAAATAGCCTAATTTAGGCTAAATTCACAAAAAGACAAAATAGGCTAAAATAGCTAATTAGACAAAATATCACATCAAACCCATAATCATTTCACTTTTTCTCTCACAAACATCACATCTAACCATAAAAAAATCCAATCATCTTCCCAAACACAAAAATTTTAGCCTACTAAAATAGCCTACTAAAATAGCAACTTCCCAAACGAAGCCAATATATAGGAGTAGTAGCGGAGTCAAGAAATTAAATCAGAGGGACACTTATTAACTATAACATTGACAATTTTTACAAAAATATTTCACATAAATTTTTACGATTAACTTCAATATATATATATATCAAAATTTCAGTAAAAAATCAATATAATAGTAATACCACGTTATCATTGACATATGGTATCACAAACCAATAGTAAAAAAACACATAGAGGATGAACCCAAATGTTACATGTATCTAACTATTCAATAAATTTCATCTCTTCATTAAGATTAATTATAATTGTATGTCAATAATGATATACATCACCATTGTATTGAAATTTTCATAAATAATAATATGATTAATCGCAATATCTTTATTTTTAATAAAAAAAACAACCATTATTATTCTCATAATTTTAAAAATGTCATTGATATTTCACTCCAAACACTACAAGAATTTACACAATTGCCGACCATTTTTGCCGACCAAAAAAATTTCGGTCGCCAAAAAATGACATTTGGCGACCAAATATTAATTAGTCGCGAATGATCATTATTTTTGGCGACCAAATATTATTGGTCGCAAAAGGTTATATTTTGGCGACCAAAAAATGAGTTGGTCGCAGAAAGAGGTATACTTTTGCCGACCAACTACAAATTTGGTCGCGGAAGGTCACATATTTTTTGGTGACCAAAAATTTGGTCGCCAAAAACTTATTTTCAGCAACCAAAAAAAATTAGTCGCCAAATTTGTATTTTTAGCGACTAATATTTTAGTCGCCGTTGATTAAGATTTGGCGACTAAAAAAGTTTGTCGGCGTAGATACTTTTTCTGCGACTAATTTGATCTTTTGGTTGCCAAAAGTTTGTGGAGGGAAATTTGAAACATAGAGGGGGAAATGGGTTAGGTTGGCGACAAAAAAAATTTGGTCGCCAATCAAAAAACGACGTCGTTTTGTTCTTGGGAAACAGAAAAAAAAAAAATTTAAAAATTTAGAACCAGTGAGTAGCCTTTTGTGTATGTGAGGCCGATTTGAACCCTTCTTCCTTTGTGGAATCTAGGGAAGGGTTGACGAGTGATATTATGGCGATGAATGAAAGAGAGAAAGGGGTTGCATCGTTGGGGTTAGCTTCGGTGGAGGTTGCACAGGGGGATCCGTTTCGGCGAGTTACTCAGTCGAAGCCCTTTGAAGAGTTAAGAGAGAAGCTTAATCGTATGAAGGCTTCCATGTCTGGTGTGGATCGGGAGGATCTGATCCCATGTGATCTTATCCAAGAGGAAACTTCAACCCTAACAGCTTCTGCCCTAAATCTTCTCCAATCTCGGTGGTCAGACAACGTAGAAATGGAGGGGAGTGAGGAAGCTGTTGTAGATCGCGAATAAGTATATCCCAGACAGCCTCTTTCTTGCTAGGGCGAGAAATCTGGTATCGAAGCTTGATGCCCTTCCGATGGCTGGGAGTGTCCATTCTCATGGAGTTGGTGGTGGTATGGCTGATTCGAAGGTTTACACACCTATTAGAGGTCGATCTGGGTCAGGTGGTCGTGGAGGAAGGGGAGGCAGAGGCCAAAATCCTCTGGCCCTGAATCCTGAGTTGAATGTGGTTTCAACTGTAGACAATGCGGCTCCTGATAAGTCATGGGCTTCTATTTCTGATCTCTCTTGCTCTGTCTTTCTGGTATGTGTGTGTCTGGTATGTGTGTGCGCGTCTCTCTCTCTCTCTCCATCGATTTCTGATCTCTCTCGCTCTGTCTTTATGTCAACTTTTTTTTGTTCTTTTAGGGTTTAATTGATTGATGTTAATTTTTTTTAATGAGAATTTGATATGCTAAATAAGAGATTTTCATTGATGGGTGGTTCAGGGAAATGGGTTATGTTGAAATTGGGTTATATAGTATATTCACCAAAGTGTTTGATAAAATGTCAAAGTGAAAAACCTTCAATTGATTAGTATTACAGTTCATGTGCATGAAGTTGTTGCTAGGGCTCTAAATTTTGTCAAATTTTAATTGCAGATTAAGCATACTATTTGTTCGGATTGGTTGTTCTACTTTTCGCTCTCCTGGTAATCCTAACTGCCCTTTTAACCTTGAATTGATTTAAAAGTTTTAATTTTGTATTATAAATCTAAGGGGACACTGCATTTGCCCAAACTGTTTAGCTGATGATCTCAGGTTTAACTTGTAAATGCTGCTGATTAGAAGTTCAAAATTAAACATTCAATTTTGAACGTCTAAAATATGAAGTTA